CGGAGGGGGGGGGAAGGGCAGTTTATTTTGCGGATTTTTGCCTTTGAACGGGCTCCCGCGAGGCGGCGCGGGGCTGAGAGGGGAGGAGGGGGCGGGAAGCCTCGCGGCCGGCCTCGCCGGGGCCGAAACCGCGCCGACCTGCACGCCATGGGCTCTGATGCCGACCCACGGCGCCTTTCGGCCCTTCGCCGTGATTTGCTCACCATGTTGGAGCTCCTTTACGATCTTGATGGAAACGATCAATGCGGCGGCCCTTCTCACACGAAGCAAATTCGACACGACGGGGGGACTCAGGAAGGGAAGGGCCTGGGGTAAAGTGGGGCTTATGGAGTCGAAACGCATCCCCACTCACTCTTGGGATGCGACTTTAGTGCACACTATGGACGAAAAAGCTTTGGGAGTTGGGTAATCGAGTGAGTCTTTATTTATCGAAAAAATCTTCACCAAAACTATTTTGCAATAGAATAACGATTTTCACATTACCTTCCAAGACGACAAGGAGAAGGTTGAACAACAGGCTTTGAATTACTGATGTTTTCATATTATATGTGTGCAATTTTTTTTCTTTCTCATATTAAAACCAATTGGGAGGGAAAAAAGAATGCCATGACTCATCTTTTTTCCTCATAGGATGAAACACAAGGAGAACTTCCGTATTCAATATCAAAGTTCACATGCTTTCCGAATTATTTACAACTTAGCCACAATCTTAAAATAAACTCAAATGCTAATTTTAATGATCTGACCCTTTACTCCAATTTGTTGACAAATTGGATGAATGCGTGAATTTTTTGATCACAAACTTGTAGTTCTATTGACGGTTTTGTGTTTCAGGTTACGCTTTTTTTACTCTGTCAGTAGCGTTATATATCACAATTATCACTACTACCAATAGTAGTAATATTAATTATTATTATAAAACCGCGCGCCAAATATATTGTTTAGCTGAGAACCAAAAGTTTTAATTGACTAATTGTTAACCCCCTCGGCTGCATAAAATCACTAACTAGGAAAGAAGGCAATCTAGGAGAAACCACCCCACATACTCCTTATTTTGATTGCGTTTATTATTAACGAGTCAAGACCTATGAAAAAAAACAGTCCCCTCTATGATAGCTTAGAAGACAATTCCCCAGCTGAAAGAGTGAACCCGATGAGCACCCTAACCCCTCATAAAATTCTTGGAGTTGAGGAGCCCCCCATTGAGCATCTTAAAAGGACAAGCTTGGAATACTTTTTTTACGTGGCCGTGGTGTTATTTGATAACTTTGGGGTTATTTTTTACGAGTTAGTGTTAATGAGCAACCGCTACCGTGAGTTATTAAAACCGCATCTAAACCCCCCGTGGGTTCCTTTTTGCTGGCTAGGCAGCCATGGGGTGGACGTGGCGGATGGGCAGTGGTATTATACCATTTCCTTTCTGCCGTTTGCTATTCCGATCATGGTGGTCTTTCTCTTTCTATCCCGTCGACAACGCCGAGGGCGTCGTTTGGCGTTAACCCCGCCGGAAGCCCCGAACACTGTGCCGCCTCGGACTCATCAAACGCGATCGTCCAAGACGCAGGCCGCGATGTCTTTGATCGAAACCAAGAGCCTAAATTTGACCACCTCGCTGCGGATAGATGGGAACGGCGGGGGGGTGGAAAATTCCCTTTCCCTCCCTCAATCGGGTCCGTCCGAGGCGGGGAATGGCGTTTGGTCCTCTCCGCGCGATCCCCCAAACGACAAGTCCACCTCCGAGGTCGTTTACGCCCGGCGTGATCTGGCGAAAACGCATCTTTTGCATTTCCTTTTTGGTTTGTTCATCGCGCTGGGGGTGACGGGGACGGGGTGTCTCTTCGGTCTGGCCTTTATCATCGCGAATTACTACGCGATGAAAGCGCTCTATCGATCCTGCCGCGTTAGGGTCGCCATGGGGGTGATGTGGACCTCCCAAATCGCAATTCTCTTTTTGCATTATTATATCGGGCGCTATCGTTTTAGCTGGTTCGGCTTGGGGTTCTTGGATGATTTATGGACGCCTTTGTTTCGCTGGACAATGATCTACAACATGTCGATGCTGCGGATGATTTCGTTTAACATGGATCTCCGCGAGGCGATGGACATCGAGGGCAGCGCGACGCGGCGTGCGCAACTTATGGAAAAACACGAAAGCACCTGTGTGGAGTGCGCCGTGATACGCGATAAAACCAAATCCCACACCCAAAGCGTCTTCGCCGAAGAGATCCGATGTTTACGGTACCGCACCGACTGCCCTCGCTTGCCGGAGGAGTATCATCTGTTGAGTTATTTGGCTTATCTCTATTACCCCCCGCTCTACCTCACGGGCCCGATGCTTTCATTTAACGCCTATACTTCCTACCTCAACCACGCGACGCGCGGGGTCGTCGGGAAGGCTATTTGGCGTTATGCCCTTCGCTGTGCAGGCGTCGGCGTGCTGCTTTCTTTCACCATGCACTACGCGCACGTGATCTCGCTTTTAGATTTGTACAAACATGGGCCCTCAAAAACGGCCATGTTATCGCTCAATCCACAAGACATTTCGGGAATTCAGTTCTCGCAAACGCAGAAACTGACTCTCTTTTACGCTCTTCTCGGATTCATGTGGATGAAGTTTGACTTCATATGGAAGTTCTCTCGCCTGGTCGCATTTTTTGATGGCGTCGAGCCGCCGGAGGATATGCGGCGCTGCTTTACCAATACATCAACCATTCAGAACTTTTGGCGGGATTGGCATGCGTCTTTCAATATGTGGATTCTGCGCTATATGTACATCCCGATGGGAGGTAGAAATAACAAAGTGTTCACCATCTTCGTTATCTTCTTTTTTATTGCAATCTGGCATGATATTGACTTGAGACTTCTTTGTTGGGCGGGATTCACGTGCATATTTTTCATCCAGGAGATCTTTATCTCATCCTATTTTACCACCACCAAAAATAAATTTATCCAGCGTCTGCGGCGGCGATCATTTGTGTGGAGGTGGATTCGTGTTACCGGTATCTCGTTTAGCATGCTCGAGCTCATTTTTATAAATCTTACAGGGTTCATGTTAGGAACGGACGCTCCAACGTCAGAACTGAAGAATTTATTCTGGGAAACCACCTGGAGCTGCATAATTTTTGTAACATGCTCCTCGTTTTGCTTCGCAAGCGTCTCGGTGCAGGATCTCGATCAGGAAAAGTATGAGGACCGCGTATTGCGAATCAAATATCATCTAAAACCGAAGTAATCCGATAGAGGGATGAAATACAGATATCTAAGTGTTTCTTATTATCCTATGTTGTTGTAGATTCACCCTTTTTCTTAGCGTCGCAAACCCGTTGAAACTTTTGCGTTATAAATTCATAGATAGGGTAACAAGATTACCCTATAGCCCTACCTCGCAAAATCGTACCTATCTAAATTACAATGCGTAATATATATATATATAACTGGTTAAAAATGCGGAATGGAAAGCCGAAGGAGTTCTTCATCGAAAATCCAACCTGACTCATAATAAAAACCATCCTACATTCCTTTTCACACGTTTTCAGTTGTTTTTTTACCTTTGTTATTAAATCATCAGTTCATCGTTCCTTAACTGCTCTAACGGCGCCCCCTCGCAACCCCCATGGCCTCCCTCATGGAGAGTATGAAATATGCAATCCTAACATACCACTTGGTGGAATGGCTGGTCTTTGTCCTGCTCAGCTGGGCCCTGTGGGGGTGGGACCACTTCGCGACCCCGCACTGCCGCTCCTTTGACTGGGCCGACGCCACGATCAACTACCCCGAGGCGAAGGACACCTTCCCGTCCTACACCATCCCC